AAATCCTACTTTTGAAATTACACTGCAAATGACTTTAGTAGTTGCCTTGTGGCAAAAATATGTACAGATTGTCATATGACAAAAGAAGACTGTCAGTTTACTGAGTTAAATTAAATCATTCCCAAGCACAGGAAAATGTTAAACATGATTCTGAAGACATAAGCCAAATATTTAAGTTCTTTTTAAATGCTGAGCACTGGATTTCTTTTGCATTAGAATTTTTGGGAGTTTTTAAATAATAAAATATAAACATGAAATTAAGACATTAAGGCATTCATAAAACCACTTTATGTTAAAATATTCTTTCTTAAAAATATTTTTTATTGATTTTATTTTATTTGTTTTTGTTAATCATCACCCTAAGATATTTTACCATTGACTTTTTTTTTTTTTTTTTTTTTAGGGAGAGTGGAAGAGAGAGGGAAAGACAAAGAGAAACATTGATGTGAGAGAAACACATTGATGGGAGAGCCTGCAACCAAGTTATGTGCCTTTGATCAGAATGGAACCCGTGACCATTTGGTCCACAGGCCTACCCTCTATGCACTGAGCCAAACAGGCTAGATCTATTTTTATTTACTTTAGAGAGGAAGAGAGAGAGATAGAAACAATAATAATAAGAGAGGATCATTGATGGGCTGCCTCCTGCATGCCTCCTACTGAGGATCAAGCTGGAAACCTGGGCATGTGCTCTGACCAGGAATTGAATCGTCACCTGCTGGTTCATAGGTTGTCGCTCAACCACTAAGCAACACTGGCCAGGCAATACAAATATTCTTTAGCCATTCAATATAATCCATGGTAGCAAAAATACTGGGTGGCAACAGGCCTAGTGATGAAGAGCATAAGCTTGGGGATCAGAAGTTGTTTCTATTACTCTTTCATCCCTTAGAGTTGTGTGGCCTTGAGTATCTTAAGCAATTTGAGCCTCAGTTTCCACAATTGAAAAATGGAGTTAATATACTTCCTCAAAACGGAGTAGCAAATTTTTTAAAAACAATACTATAAAGCACCTAAATGGAGCTTTAATTTTGAAGCTGAAAGGCAAAATAAAGCTGAAATTTGTGATCTTGAGTTCCCCAAAAATGATTACCAGCAGTCTCCATTCCCTTTTACTAGTATAGCTTCATCTCCATCATGCCTGTTGATATCTACTTCACCAAAGATCCTCAGATGTGGTTGCATATTAGAATCACCTGAGCAGCATTTAAAACCTTTCCATGCCCTTGTCCCAGGCCAGCCAAAATCAGGATAGGATTGTGAGAGTATGGTTATTAGTATTAAAGGTCCTCAGGTAATTCTCATGTTGAAACCTCAGCTAAGGCATTCAACTTCTAAGTAGTCAATAAATGTTAGCTACCAAGAACTCAGTTTACATAATCAGTGAATTTTAGAACCAGTAATATCCTATATAATAAAGAGGTACATGCAAATTAACCCTCACGCCCTCACAAGATGGCTGCCTACGACCAGGCCAGCAGGGGGGTTAGTGAGGGACTACCAAATGACTGAACAAGCAGGCTGCATGGGGCGACCAGGCTGGCAGGGTGTTAGTGAGGGACAACCAAACAACTGAACAGCAGGCTGCGTGGGGTGACCAGGCCAGTGGGGGGGCTGTGAGGGATGAC